CAATTATTAAATGAACAAAAAAATAAAAATTTAATAAAATTTATTCCAAAAACAGGTAATATTATTTTAAATAAATATTTACATATTTTACAAATGGTTTCAATTGCATTTAGAGGAAAAAAATTTTTTGAAGATGATTTAATTTGTTTTCAAAATGGTGGTGTTGTTTTAAAAGTTTGAAAAAATTTTGATTCTTTAATTAAACAAGATGATATTAATGAGGAAGAACTTTCTGAATTAAAAGAAAATAAAGAAGAATTTGAATTTTTACAAAAATTTATTAATATTTTTAAAAAGTTTTCAATAATAAAACTTATTGAAATGTCTCATTTAGATAAATCATGAATTGATCAAATTGAAAAAAGAAACAAATTATATACTGGAAATAAAATGGATATGCTATTTTATACAGAAGAATATCAATATTTATGATCAATATTTAAAGATAAGTTTAAATAATTTTTATAAAATGAAATGTCGAGTTAAAGTTGGAGATTTATTAAAATTTTATTTTCCATATAATGATTCAAAATTTGAAGAAAAAAAAGAACATTGATCTTTAGTGTTATTTGAAGATGAAAAATATTTATATATTTCACCATTTAATTCAAAAAAAATAGAAAAAAAAGAAATTAAAAAAATATTTAATATTTTAGAAAAAACAAAAGATAATTTTAGTATTTTTAATTTTTGTTGGCATAATGAATCAATGAAGATTGAAATAAATAAAAAATATGAATATCCATTAATTTTTCCATATAGTGATTCTGAATTAAAATTTTTTAATATGAGAAGAATAGAAAAGCATCAATTTTTAGAAAATTTAATTTATAAAAAAAATTTTTTAAATAATAAAGATTTAGAAAAAATAAATTTAGAAAAAATAATCAAAAATTATTTTTTACAAAATAATAAAAAAACTATATTAATAAATTTAAAATATTTAATTAAAACAAATATTAAAATTTTATTAAATTCAAATAAATGTTTTTGTAATAAAAATAATAAAAAAAATTGTATAAATTGTAGAAAAATTTGTTGTTGAAAAAATGAAAAAAACAAAAATAAATATTAATTTTTAATTAATTAAATATTAATTTATTTAATTTTATTTTGTTTTCTTTTCAATTAATTTTTGTAAATTATCTAATTTATCATATAAAATTCAATATTTACTAATATTACTTTCATTTTCTTTTTTATGTTTATCACACATTTCAATTTTTATTTCTCTTTCATATTGAACAATTATTCTATTATTTCTTGTATTAATAATTTTATTTCCACTTTTTATTTGTTTTCTTAAATCTGTTTTTTGAAGATATTGAATATATTCTTCTGTTTTGTTTTCACCTTTAATTTTACAATTATTACATTTATTTATTATTTTGGATAATTTATTTCCTATAAAACTTATTTTTTTAATACATTTTTCTTTTTCATTTATAAGTTCTAATTCTTTAGATTTATATGAAAGTTTGTGTCTAATTCAAATAAATACATTGGGAATTTTATATAAAATACTTAATATTCATTCAATCATTTTTTTACATTTATACTCTATTTTTATAACTTTCTAAAATTTATTATTTTGATATTTAATATTTTATAAATAAATTTAAATTAAATATATCAATATATTTTGTTTAAAGTAAAATTTTATAAATAATTTTTTATAAATTATTATTTTTTTATTAATTATAACAATACTATTTTATTATTTTTTAAAAAAGTACTTGAAAAAAAAAAAAAAAAAAGATTTTAATAAATTTATTAATTATTAAAATGTATAGAATTGATAGAAATAATTTTCATAAAAATATAAAAGAATCAACAGTTTATACTCCAGAAAAAGTTAGTGATTTTTTATTTAATATTTTAAATAAAAGTATTGATAAAAAATATATTATTGCAGATTTTTGTGTTGGTAAGGGAAGTTTATTAAAACCATGATTTAAAAATGGTTTTAAAGTTTTTGGTTCAGATATTGAAGATCAAGGTTTTAAAAATGTATTTGTAAAAAATTTTTTAGAATTAAAAAAGGATGAAATTCCAAATAATATAGGTTTAGTAATTATGAACCCACCATTTAATATAGATAATAAAACAAAAATTTATATTAAAAATAATTATTCAGGAAGACCATTGTTACCTGAAATTTGATTACAAAAAACAATTGAATTATTAGGTAATGAAATACCAATTGTTTTGTTTACTCCATATGGTTTTAGGTTAAATCAAACTTTAAAATCTAAAAGATATAAAAAATTTTTAAATAAGAAATATCCAGAAATAAAATCAATTATTTCATTACCTAAAGATATATTTTTAAATGTAAAGTTTCATAGTGAAATTTTAATTTTTAATTTAAAAAATTTAAAAGGACATTATTTTTATTATGAGTAGTAGTAATCAATTAAGAAATAACAAAAATCAACATAAAGTAAAAAATTTAGAATCTAAATTAGATGATAATTGTATTAAAAAAGCTATGCAAGATGTTTTAATTTATTTAAAAGACAAATTTAATAAAGAATTAAAAAAATTAAATTTATTTTTAGAATTAAGAAATAAATTAAAAAATGAAGAAATAATTTATTTGATTAAAAGAAACAATATAAGAAGTGAATTTATTAATTTAGGAGATTCAAAGACACATTTAAAACCAGGTGGTGGTATTATTTTTTTACTTAAAAAAGATGATTGTAAATTTAAAAAAATAATATTAATTTCTGAAACAAAAAAACAAGGAACAAATGATAAAAGAATAAAAGAAGGTAAGAAAAAACAATCAACTGGTAATGCAATTGAAAGATATGGAAAAAATTTGATTGGTTTTAAATCACTTTTTAATCATGAAAGAATTACACCCATTGTATGTTTTTGTTGAGGATGTGATATTAAAGATGAAAATAATGAATATAAATATGCTGCAGTAAAATTAAATGTATTAAATGAATTTTATTCATTAGATAGAATATTTGTTTTTAAAAGAGATGGTTCATCAGATAAAAATTCATTTTCTCCAACTACATTTATTACAAAAAATAAAAAATTTACAAAAGAAGAATATTTTAATATATTAAAAGAAGTTGCAGAAACAAGTTTAAGATATTATATTTTTTAGTGTTTTTTATTTATTTATATAATGTGCTAATATTTCATTATTATTTACATTTCAAGTTATTCATATTTTTTTATAGTAAAAATTACAAAAGTTATTTTTACATTTAAGTTTTTTATCTAAAAAAAATTGTCAATTTTTTTTATTATCTTTATGAGCAAATAGTCAATTTAATATAATTGTTTGTTGTTGTTTTTCTGTTAAATATTTTAAAGTATTATCACTAAATCAATTTGGTAAATTAATTGTAGATGTTTTATTATTTATTGTATATGTTTCAATTTTAGTATTAGTGTTTTGAATTATTTTTTTTATTTCTTCTATTTCTTTTGTTGTTAGATCATTTCTTAATTTTTGTAAAATTAATAATTTTCTATTATTTTCAAATATATTTTTTATTTCTTTTTTTGTTTCTGTTCATTCTTTGTTTGATTGCATAAGTACATATAATAATTGAAATATTTGTTCTTTTTGTTCATTTGTTAATGTTACTTTGTTTTCTATTATCATTTCTCAATTATTTATTCATTCAATTATTGAAGGGTTTACATTTTTTAATAATTTTATTTTTATTTTTATTTCTTCTATATTTTCTAAATTTTTATATAATGAAAATATTTGTTCTTTTGTTTTTTTTATTAAATTTTGTGGTAATTTTTCTAATTCTTTTGGTTTTTTTGATAATATTTCTTGTATTTTTGATATTGAATTATAATTAGTAGTTATTGGTTGTTTTAATTGTTTTATTATTTTTTCTTTTGATATTAAATTTAGTATTAATTCTTCTAATGTTTCTTTTTTTGATTTATTTGTATTTGTGTTTGATTTATTTATATTTTTTTGTTTGATATTATTTTTATTCTGTAATAAAAATACAAGCATTAAAATTATAGTTATAAAAATCATAGATAAAGTTATAAAAATAATAATTTTTTTTTTATTTTTTTTTATTCTATTCATTTGTTAAAATTATAATATTTTTAAATTACATAAATAAAAATATATAGATTAAAAAAATTTTATTATTTTTTATTTATAATTGTTTTTTTAAAATAAAAATTAGAAAAAACAAGTATTATTATTAATAATTATAAAAACATAAAAATATTATGAAATAAAACAAATAATACTGATTTAACATCAAAAAATAATAAAAACTAAATATTTATATTAATTATAGTTTCTATAATTATTTTTTTTATTTTATTGGGTTTTTTAATAAGTAAAGAAACTATATTTTTAAATATAATTAAAAAAAAGATAAAAAAAATATTTGAAAAAAAAATAAAAAATAAAAAATCAAATACAAATAAAACTATAAGTTCAATTCAAGTACAAGAAAATGGATAATTCAAAGAACAAGATCAATAACAAGTAGAAAATAAAAAAGTAATAGAATGAATTACTTTATTTTTTAATGATTGAATTTTTAATACAAGATATTGAAACAAAAATAAATAATAATCAAGAAATTTTAATTAATTAAAATAATCAAGAAAGTTTTAAATGTTTTTTAAATTATTAAAAGAAAAGCCAGTATATATTTTAGATAATTTTAATAAACATATAAAAAATATTATTAATAAATTTTTATGAATTATTATTTTATAAATTTTCTCTTTTATATAATGAAAATATCATAAATATAATTTATGTATATAAGTCATATTTATCAATTGTTTATAGTTTTTTAACATTTAATTAAAAATGTTTTTTCTTAAATCTATAATTTGTATTTATAAATTAATATTTAAAATATAATGTCAAAAATGATTTAAAATTTTTTAAAATAAACAAAAATAATTTATATTAAAATATATAAATATTATATTTAAATAAAGAAATAAATATAAAATTATAAAAAAGGGGAATGAAATGAATAATTATTTTAAAGAATTAAAAGATGAAATTAAAACAGCTTCTTTATTACAAAAAGGATTATTAGTTTTAGGTGTTGTAGCTATTGGTACAACAACTGCTATGATTGGTGTTGTAACAGTAAATAATTCTGAAAAATCAAAAACAGAAAAAGAAGATTCAATATCATCTTTAGAAGAATCAAAAACTTCAAAAAAAGAAACAGCAAAAAATATAGAAGAAGCTGCTTCTAAAGTTGGACCAGCAGGACCAAGAGGTGAAACTGGACCACAAGGACCACAAGGTGAACCAGGACCGCAAGGACCTAAAGGTGACACAGGTGATAGAGGACCAGTAGGACCAAGAGGGTTAACAGGACTAGCAGGTGTTCCAGGTGCTAAAGGTGACACAGGTGAAAGAGGACCACAAGGTGAACCAGGACCAAGAGGTGAAAGAGGTGAACCAGGACAAAGAGG